AATATTGTTAATTGTCACACAGGGACTTGTCTCAGGGTTAGCATACTATGTTATTGGATGGGCATCAAAGGCGAGAGGACCTGTGTTTGTGAGCGCATTTAACCCTCTCAGCATGGTTATCGTTGCTATACTGAGCTCCTTTGTTTTCTTCGAAAAAATGTACCTAGGAAGGTAACAGCTTTGATCTAAGACTACTAATGCGATAGATCTAAAGTTAGAGAACTGATTTTCATTAAATGGGATTCCTAAATTTGTAGGGTTGTTGGGTCAGTTTTCATTGTCATTGGAATATATTTGGTACTATGGGGTAAAAGCAAGGACAAGGGAGGGCAGCTTCCACCAAACTCTGGGTGTGCAGAGACTGTGGTAAAAACTGACGAACAGAGGGTCCCGACGGCTGATAATAACCAAGTAGTACCCAACAGTGGCCAGTTAATGACACCAAAGCCAGCAACTCAGTCTCAAGAGACCGTCTGAGATGTCGATTTTGTTCCAGTATCTGTATATATTGCAAGATATTTTTGATAGCATTGTGAATATGGTTTGCCAGAATAAGAGCAAGCAATACGCTGCATCAAGTCTCTTAAATTTTGAAGTTCTTGCAGAAGTTTATATAGTAAGAGAACTAGACTTCACCAGACAAGGCCATGATAGCATCAAGGTTTTGATTTACTATTAGAATCTATAGTTACAGAGAGCAGGAATGGAGTTCACTTACCACAAAAAGCCTGCCAGTTGATAACTCGTCTTCTCAAGATGCCAAAGTGACAGCTTCCTTCCCATAGATACGTTGGAGTTCAAGGCTCGCAACTTGGTATGAAGCTGAAAACAGACAAAAGTACAACAATCTTTCAGCTGGATAACCGACAATGATTGGCTTTTTTTTTTAATCTTTGTTCTAAATGTCATGCTCCAAGCTATTATATCCAATTAAAATCTCTATATTGCACTACTACCTTTCCAGGTGTTGAAATTTTTACGGTTGATATCAGATCCTGTTACATTCTGAATAGCATCGAACAACTTCTCCTGAGGTGTATTCTTCAGCTCTTGAGCAACGCCATAAATGGTCTTTCCATTCTCAAAGTATATGTGGTTATTTGGGTGCTTTGTCTTGCAATTAGCATGCTGCTCGAATTCATAAGCATTAAGAACCTGTTGCACGGTTCAGTTGCAAAAATTAATAGATGACATAAATTCGTATCAAATAGACCTGCCAATGAATTACTGAAACCATTTGTATCAGTCTGCTTACTTTATTAAAGTTACAGTTGCCGCAACCACATAGATACCCAGTCCCCTTTATAATTCCTTCGAGATTTTTCTGCCAAACTTATGTTTCAGCACACAGCAGAGTAAAGGTGAAAGGTTCCTTCTCAGGACAGGTAAAAGAACAAACTGACCTCACGTGACCACGAATAGTACTTCACAGTAACTCCATCAAACATTCCGGTTGACAGCAGTGACTTAACATTTGAAGGAAATGTGTTTGTAGAATCCTTCTTAGCTGTCTTTGTGTCTTTACGTTTGGGTACGAGCAAGGTATCAACTCTGGGGCTATCATAGTGGGGATTTCTAAAGTCAAAAGATATGTTTCCCACTGCTTCCATATGAAGAGGATCTTTAGCAGTTGCAGGGGCATGGCTGAAGTTCTCATAGCTGTTAATAACACGAACTGATGAACCCATTGTGGTTTCTTTCTGATAATCTCCAAAAGATATGGTATTGGTTCGAGCATTGTTTTGGTCTGCACTGTCTTGGCTAGAAACCATAAATGCCATCTCACCGCCTTCCGTGTATGGTGACTGTCCACCTGACAACACATTGGCATTTTCTTTATGATGGCATGATTCGGTCATGAAAAGATTTTCAGGCAGTTTGTTACAAGAGAGAAGAGACATGAAGTTCTCATGTCCCTTGTTATAGGAAGGACTCATTGAGAAACTATTACTATCAGCCTTTTGAAGAGACTGGCCCATCAATGCATAAGTGTCTACCCCTTTCTCAAATGGATGAAATTTTGACAAGACATTTCCATCTCCTGTGTCATAAATATTACCCATTGGCATGACATCAACACCTTCAATGTTGAAGTTCCGAATGAAATTTCCATCCGCCTTACTAACGAATGGTCCAGGCAAGATGAAGCTCTTGTCAATATTACTGCAGGTTTGTCCAAAGGATAGTGAGCTATCTTGACCGCTAGTATATGAAGGACACATTTCGAACGATCTTGAAATTCCTTCACCATAAAGCTGAACCATAGATTCAGGCATGTTTCCGGATTCAGACACTTGACTGAGTTTAACTTTTCTAATGGTGTCAAGATCAAATGAGCTAGCATGAACCACTGGCAAACCAATTGATAATTCATTGCTGCATTGCTCCTCAACATGTTGACCATCTATGGTAGGAGAAATATTTATCCCAAAAAGATCTGATGTACGCTGCGCGTTAGCAGGTTCGAACAAGCAATCAGTTAACTGTGTGGACACAAGAGAATTGTCCCATGGATGTGCACCAATCTCTACCAACTGTCTCTTATTACTGAGTAGTTCTGAGTCGGAAGGTTCTGCAAGCCACTGATGACTCCGCTTTAGCTCCATTCTCGAAGAACCCGAATACGGAATCACCTCAAACCCTGTCACAACCAGCCAGAGAAACAATTAATAACCACGCTCTCTAAAAGGAATCACACTGCGACAGAGATGAAGATTAGACATTGAAAAGAGAACTTTGAGATGGCTCAAGAGGAGTCAAAAATCATACTTTCTAAAAGCATCTGGAGAATTATTCAAGTCGGAGCATGAGGTAATCGGAAAAGTTTGTTCTTTGGCAAAAAATTAGGACTTTTGGAAGAGTAACGGACAGTTCTCTACTCATGAACGGGAAATTATGGAAGGAACCCTAAAATCACGGAATATAAAGCTCTTACCTTGCGATTGCATCCAAAGCGCCGGCGAAGTAGGAAAAAAAAACCAGAATCGACAAAAGAAGAAGTCACCGGGAGAATTCAAAGATTGGGAATTTCGGCGACCCACAAAGATCAATTCCGGTTATAAGGAGAGAGAGAGAAGTGGGAGTTGAAAAGCTCAGGGAAGGATCATCAAGAGGGAATTGGAATCTTTAAAGATCAAATTTTGCGACTCAGAGACAAAGATAATACCCGCCAAACTCAATTCCAGCCACTTCGGTCTCGATTTCACCTCTCTCTGTTTGCTTATTACAGACATTTTGATTTTTAAGGTAATTTACAGATTTTATTTTATTGGTAAGTGTAACAGTCGAATTTTCACATTTTTGGGAAAATTTAAGGGTATTTAGCTCAAATCCCATG